GCAGGATCTCAATGACAAACTGCTCCATCTTGACAGAGTCCACAGCCGCATCCTTAAAGGGTTGCTTCCTGAACCGCTTGAACAAGTCGAGCGGCACTGTGAAATACATCTCGCACCTGAGCCCCTTCAGGTCCCTGGACAGTTTCTGCATGGAGGCTTGCAGTCCGGACACGACAATTGGGTGCTTGGCAGAGACAGTCACCTGGATGAAGAGCAGTCGCTCTGCCATGCCGCTCTTGTCAGGAAAAATAAGAAAGCTGTCCACGCCTGCAAAGTTCCTCACCACCGGCACCAGGAGCCCAGATATTGTTGTTGTGAGGCTGACTTCTTTGAGGTCGCTGTCCTGCACCTCCTTCAGGTACATTTTTGGCACTGTCAGGCTGAACTGCTGCTTCCCGGGGTTAGAAAGGTTGCGTAAACTAAATGAGCCGCCCCTGCACAGTAAGTCGTGCACTAGACCCTGGAACATTATACCTCTAAGCGAGGCCAAGCTGGCCTTCCAGCGGAACACTTGATGAATTCGGCTAACTTAGCAGTACCCTGCTGATGAAGCTGCTGCACCACTCACTGATTTCCAATGGCCAGCACCGATTTCCTCCGAGCTGAAGACCAGGTGTTTCCTGCTGCACTTCTTCTCATTCACATGAGCTGAATACATGTACAACACAGGGCACTTACAGATACAAGCCCATCTGTGCCGGCACCTACACCTGCACAACCTGCAACTTCAGCAAATGAGCAAATGGCAACCATGTCCAGTGCCCAGGTACACACGAGCTGTGAGCCCAACAGTGAGCGTGAATCCTGATGTCTGGAGGGCCCAGTACAGCATCATGCCACAGTGATCATGCCAAGAGAAGCCACCGACTACATTTCCAAAGCCTCTGACGACCATGACCTAGTGCCCACGTCCAGCAGAGCAATTTATAAAGAACCTTATGGGCTTTTTGTGGGCAGCTGCGCAGCAAAACGCTCTCAAAAATATATCCTACACATGAGCATGACTGTTCATTCTTTAAAACGTCCAACCTGTAAATGTGCACACACACATGCAGACACTGCGCACACACACACACACCCCTCACGCCGTTACAACAGCACAATGCATGGACACGCAATACTGTGTACATTACGAGCCTTCTTGACGCGTCCATGTCATCGGTGCCGACACGAGATGCCTCCACTGGCTGGAAGTGATTGGTTGGGCTGATGGCGGTGGTGGTGCCCAGCACATAATGTGATTCAGTGTCAAGACAAATACAAGGAGTGTCCATCCGGGGTTTGACATCCAGGTCTTCAGCCTTACACCCCGCACCAACAGACCCCAGGCACTCAGAGCACAACGGCCCAAGGGCGTGTTAAGTGTCCTTAGCGCCTTAATTACCTCACCCTGCTCATGTACAGTGCTCGGCCACAATAAGCACACCACTTGCAGACCAGCAATCCATAATATCGACGGAACAGGTAGAACAACCCCTCCTCACCCCGCACAACCCACGACATGACAAAGGCTTGCCAGATGGTGTGCAGAACCCATGCCGTTGCCACACACACACACACATACACATGCTCTGTGCACAGCCCCGCTTTTATCAATGGTGTTGGTTTTCAGTGGCTCCTCCACCAGGTTTTCCCATGTGGGTCTTAAGGTATGCACATCCACCCGATATTGCCTGCCGAGCGCAAAGTCACCATTTGCAACAGATGGGACATCTGCTGACGGTCAACTAGAGAAGACTTCGCACCGACCTGGATGTGGATCAGTTTGTGACTGACTTCCGACATGGCTTCAATCTTGCCTACTGATTTCCACAAGAGATCCAGATCAACGACCAGCACCGCTGCATCAAGCTCCTCCTGCAGGCTGCAGGCTGGGTTGTCTGCATACTCCAGGACGTAGCATGGGATGCCGCCCCACCGAGCATACTGCCATGACAAGTGTAGCATCATCGATTGAGGTGCAAGGCTTCTCCGTCATTCTGTATGTGTTGAGGAATGTTTTAAAAATTTCACCTGTTAAACTGTTCACCTCTTTGGCTGTAGAGACCTGTTTGCCCTTTCGCATTGAGCTGTTATCCGGCCCTTTGCTTTGCTGCGGCGCGCCGGTTTTATTGTTACAGATTGGGCCTCAAATCGCGACCCAAATGGGATGATGGCGAGGGTTCCATGGCTTCGGAGCGGCCTGTTCCCTGGCTGTACGACGCCTGGGCGGCAGGTACGGCACCGGGCTTTACTTGCACTGGCAGTGCGGGTCAGGGCTGTGTGTGTGTGCGGGGACTGGCAAATTAGATCACAACCCGGTGTGGTGAGGCAGACAGTTTTTTACTGTACGGCACAGTACGGCATGGTACGGCAGTCTACGGAGGGCAGCAGAAGGACCCATCCCATCACCTAACTCCCACACCCAACCCTCACGACGCTATGTTTTCTGCCCATGTCAGACCCGTTGGTTCATGACGGCGGTCTTTTTGGCAGCAGCGTCAGCGGCGGCAGCAGCAGTAGCACTAGCAACATCAACAGCAGCAGCCGGGCGGAGGAGGACTTGTCGTTTCCCGCCGCTCAGCAACTGGCGGCGGATGGGGTCTTGGAGGGTTTGGCGTTACCTCTGCTGGTGTTTCAGTCCGAGAAAGACACGTGTGTGCCTCCGGAGGGTGCGCGGACGCTGTACGAGAGGGCCGCGGTGAGGGGCAGGAGGCGGGCGGGAGGGCGGGAGAGAAGGGGAAGGGGGGAACATTGATGGCAATAGTACATCAATAATGCAATATATAATATAACAATTACTACTATATTGTTTATTTATTAAAATAATTTATTAATTATTAATCATTATATTTTTATTAATTATATATTGTTATTATTTTATTAATTATATATTTTATTATATAATAATTATATATTGTTATATTTGTATTATTGTTATATAATATGATGTGATATATACGTAAACTTTCCCCACTCCAAATTCCCTTCGGTAATCTAAGGGGGCTAAGAGTTACTCGTAAGAGTTACTCCTCCGGCGTACCATCCTCGCGCCAGGGCTCCTCTCTGGCCCCGCCGCTCAAATCTATACACATCCACGTCGTAGATTCCGCTACACATACACATGCATTGTATGTATGTATGCATGTATGTATGTATGTATGCATGTATGTATGTATGTATGTATGTATGTATGTATGTATGTATGCATGTATGTATGTATGTATGTATGTATGTATGTATGTATGCATGTATGTATGTATGTATGTATGTATGTATGTATGTATGTATGTATGTATGTATGTATGTATGTGTACACATATGTTCTGTGCTGCGATATGCATCTCTCCTCCACCCTCCCTCCCGCAGTCGGCTGATAAGACCCTGCGATGGCTGAGTCAGCAGTGGCACGTGTTGACGAAGGAGGAGGGCTGGGAGGCCGTACTCGAGGAGGTGTCAGCCTGGCTGGCGGCCCGCGCTACCAACAGCGGCGCATTGACTCGCGGATTAGGGGAAACGCAGCGGACGGGGTCCTCGACACGGCAGGAGGCCGATAGAATAGATAGCGCGACGGCGGCGGCG